GGAATGATTCATTTCTGCACAGTTGTGGCTCTTGCGGCGCCGAGACCGTGCCAGGGGCTAAGCTGAAGTCTGGGGTGGAGAGAAGCGGGTTGGGGGCAGACTCCAGCCCTCTGCCGTGGTCCTTGCCCCGTGGTTCCAGCTCTGCACGGGCGGATCAAGCGCCTGGGATCTCCCTCGCTTGAGGGGGGCAGGACCACGTTGCCCTCGGGGCCACCGCTGCCAGGCACAGTGCCGGTCCCTTCCCCACCCTGGGGGACCCCGTGCCCCGTCTGAGCTGCCCCTTCCCTGCGCATCCCCTGCTCCCCCCGGCCCCGGGAGCCGCCAACATGGTGGCTTTGGAGGGAAAGTCACTGTACTTACCCAGAGAGGAAGATCCGGATCACACCATAAAATACTGCTGGATCCACGTAGTCTAGGAGGAAATCAGATCATAGATGTTACTGCGGGCAGTTAGTTCCCTCTGCACCAGCATTTCCCATGTAGCAGTGCTCCTCGTGCCGCAGCCGAAGCGACCCGAATCCGTGCTCAGAGAAGGAGCCGGTGCTTTGCATGATGCTGGTGCCCGCTCATCATGGTGGGCTTCCTCCAGCCGGGCTCCTTGGGGCACCGCCGTGCGTGGCACAGTGCACAGAGCTGCTCATCCTCATATCACCCCACGCTTTTACCCCGAGCCCGTTTGGGTGCTCAGACCCCACGTGTCATCCTGGGAGCACCGAGCTCCCGCCACACTGCTCCTGCCTCCTCCTGCTCTGTCCCTCCGAGATGCTCCATGGGCCAAGCGCGAGCACGTTTACGCTAGTGCATCTGACGAGCTGAAGCGTGCACAGCGGTGTGAGGACGCGAGCTGCCCTCCGGCTGCCGTTACCGTGCATCCGTTTCAAAGCCTTGCTCATGTCCCCGATGGCCTCTGCCAGCTCCTGCAGGGCGTTGTGCAGGGCCTCCTCGTCCAGCTGCAAGACGGCACGGATGGCCTGAACGATTGCCTGCGAGAGGAGAGGAGAGGAGAGGAGAGGAGAG